GTGGGGGGTTAGACTAGATGATCTATTCAGGTCCCTTCTGTCCCCTAACTACTATGAAACTATGAATACCAGGAGTTAGGCTGGTGTCCCTGGAATCAGGGCATATTTCCAGTTGGGTCTCCTTCCACCATGGAGCATCAGACAGTCCTTGCTGCATCAGCCTTCACCCGTTTCCTTCTTCCCCAAAAAGAGGAAAAGAAAGCAAAAGCTCTTAGCAGCTGTAGAGCGTAAGGTGCTCAGGCACGGGGGCACTTGGTAGTACAGCTGGCTTTGGAGTGCTGCTCACTGACACTCAGAGTCAGTTTTGTACTGCAGACAGCTCCATATGGTGGTGCTCAGTGTGGTACCTACTAAGGCTGTGTGAAATTTTGCTGGCCATTTCATTTTGACACTGTTTCGACTAATTTCGAGGCGCAATCTAGTGCAGGGGGTGGGCAAGCAGCTCAGCTGGGCTGACTCCTGGATCTCCACACGATCTAGCGCTGGGGACGGGGAGTCAGCCTAGCTGGGCTGACTCCCCATCCCCAGCAAAACGTCAAAACAGCCTTTCCATTTCAACAGAACGGAACAACTGTTTCGAATCGAAATGAAATTCGAAACGGACCGCTGTTCCGTCAAACTGTCAAAACTCAAGGCAAAACAGAACAGTGCTGTTTCACACAGCCCTAGTACCTACCACTCTGTGGAGCCACTTGTTTGGTCATGGTATGAGAGAGACTATTAGTTGAAAAGACTGATACTTAGTGCATTCTAGCTGGAAAAATTGAAGAGGTCAAAATGTAAAGCAAGCTCCATTTGAGGAAGGAAGCTGAAAAATAATGGGGAAGTGACTGGCCTGAGCTTGTGCAGCAATTCAGTAGTAGAGCCAGGAATAGTAATAGCATGCAACTTTTATAGATCACTTTTTTGAATAGATCTTAAAGGATCGCCACCTCATGATCGTCGTTTTACAGAAGGAGGAACTGAGGCATGGACATGGATATGGGTTGCTTATGCTTCAGCAGAAATGAATGCAGGTCCATGTTTCATTGTTCTGCATGTATTACCCCACGCTTCCTTGCTCTGAACACATGCAGGATGTGGTATTTTGAACAAAGAATTGAAATTAGGATTGCTTTGGCTAGACCAGTGGTTCTCAAGCTTTTCAGACTAAAGCTTTTTTGACTCAGAAAATGCCAGCTCTTAGCTTTCACTCATTCCTTGACTACAGAAAACTAAGGGCAATTCTTCTGTTGCAGAGAACTCAGAAAGACCACAACAGGGCAGAATGTTTTTGACACTGCAGATTTCTATTTGAAATCTCTGGATTTATCCTGTTAACTGTGTAGGTGTTTGCACACCTAATATTGCATGGCAGCCTGCAACACCCTTCAAAGGATCTCCTAGCATCCCAGGGTGCTGCATCACCCTGGTTGAGAATCACTGGGCTAGACTATGCAAAAGCCACAGTTAACTAACAAAGAAGTCTTACTACATCCTGATAACCTCTCTCTCTTTCTGGAAAAGGTGGATAGGAAGTGGTACCTTGTATTATTGAAATTCACTAAAGAAACAAATTGAAAGAAATATTAATTATTGTGAATGTATTTGACTGTTTTCAAAGAACTGGTTAAATACACCAGTTTTCCATAATGAGTCAGATCAAAGTTATGAGAGAACATGACATATTTACCTTTTTCTGTTCATTTTCAGCTATTGTGGGGCCTCCGACATTGAAAAGTGTGGTTTCAAAACCTGATTCACTTCTCCTTAATTTCTTGCCACCTCTTAGGAATGTAAACCTTTTCTTTGAAGTTGAATACCATGTGCACTACTGGGAGAAATCAACAGATGTAAAAGTAAGAACTTTTTAAACTTTTTCCCTCCCTTGGCAAAATGGTAGAAATGGAGGGAAGAGAAGATGGCTACACATTTGAAAGGAAGTTAAAACAGTTTTATCCAAAATGTCCTTTGTGTTATGAATGGACTGGGGGCCTGATGCTAGTCCACCTATATAGATGTGTGAAAAAATGTTAACCTGCATACTTTTGTAACATGCCATTGCTTTAGCGTTATGACCAAGTCACCAAAAGCAATGGGAACAAGAATGACCCACCTTCCTTTTGTATTAACTGTTTTTCAGGAATTTGAGCAGAGTAGAATCAGATCACACTTACATGTAATACACAGAGTACTATCTGGTTCAGGGAGTAGAGTTTCCAAAAGTGAAGCTTTAAATGGGGGATCAGCAACCCCTGGCACGTGTGGCATGCAAAGGCATTTTGCTTGCCACATGCACCTTAGGGCAGATGACGGAGAAGGGGCTGGGGTTGCACTCCCACAACAAGGATTGGGCCCCTCGTGGCTCCCCCACCATCTGCCCAGAGGTGCACGTGCACCCACTGCGCAACCAGCTGAGCTGGGGCTCTGTGTATCGTCATGCAACTGCTTGTAGCCTTACCCCCACCTGCCATAAGCAGCCTAGGATCCATGGCAGGAGGCTTACCCAGAGCCCGGGCTGGGGCTGGGGCTGGGGCTGGGGCTGGGGCTGTGGCAGGCCGCTGGGAAGCTGCATGCAGCTGCACTGGGATCTGTGAAGTCCCAGCCTGGCTTGTTGACAGCAGGTGCATGCACACCTGGGGTGGACAGCGGGGGAGCTGCAAGGGGCCTAATCCTTGTGGCAGCACAGCCTGGGCCCTTTCCTTACCATCTGCCCTGAAGCGTGCATGCACCCACCACTGGCAGAAAGCCAGGTTGGGGCTCCACAGACCCCAGTGCAGCTGCTTGCAGCCTTCTGACTGCCTGCCACAGCCAGCCCAGGCTCTGGGCAGTCCCCAGCTCCATGCCGTGGAGCCCAGGCTGCTGGCAGCAGGGAGGCTGCAGGCAACTACACTGGGGTCTGCAGAGGTGCACGCACACTTCTGGGCTGACAGTGGAGAAGGGGCTTGAGCTGCACTGCCACAACATTTGGGCCCCTCATGGATCCCCCACCATCTGCCCCCCTGGTACACCAGCATCCTGCAAGTAGAAGTTGCAGGTGTTTTGGGCACTCTGCCCAAAAACATTGCTGACCCCTGCCTTTAAATTATATCTTTGAAGTCATGAAAACATAAGCCTCATTCAAAGTCAGTAGGCTTTGGGTTATCGCTAAGGGGATTGGAAATGGGATTTGGATTACTAAATCACTTCAGTGCTTCTGAAAGCTTAACACAAGAGCTTTAAGATGTTTGTCTATACTGTGGATTTCAGTAACTGGCCTCCTAGGCTGCATCCAGACGTGCATGGAGACGTTTTGTTTCCTGGAGATAACTAGTGCTGGTGGACCTTGTGCCACCACTAGTTGTCCCCAGGGAACACTCATGTTGCGTGCGGTCTGGTGTATGGCAGGTCACCCCAGGTGGGGTAGGGGAGACTGGGGCCAGCATCAGGCTGGCCCCAGCAGCCTGTCCTGGGGGCTGTCTGGGGCTGCAGCTGCTGGTTCTGCCATGTGGAGCTTGGCTGGCAGTGGAGTACAGCTCTGGCTGGCGAGGCTCCTCCTTTAGGCAGAGCATGCTGCCACTGTGTGCCACTCCACTTTTTGTCAGAGTGCTTTTTGATCCTGGATACCCAGGGATCAAAAAAATCCTCCACACTGCTCCTTTGCAGCACTGAGAACAGGTGAAGATGCAGTTTGTGGTGCCGCAGACGTGCAGCTTGGGTGCAAAGCTGCTGTCAGCTCTGATTTGTTCAACATCAGGAAAAAATGTGCTCTTCGCAGTTCCTGGGTAATGTAATTGTGTTAGCCCAGCTCAGAAACTAGTATTTTTCAAATGGCAGATTTGTTTTTTTGACGGGCTTATTTTTTGGTGGTGTTTGTCCAACCCTAGCTTCTCCTAAAGCCCTTGGCTGCAAGAAATAGCACAGAAATATTGCAGAATACTGCAGAAAGTCCTATAGATATTACAGGTGCACTGAATTCTTGTGTTAATCTACATGTATGTGCAATTTGCATAAGTATGTCTCTAGTAGTCTAGTTTAAATATCCATATTTTAATTCATGGAAGTTGAACATTTCCATTCAAGGAAATGAGCATTCAAATTATTATGCTGCTTCTGCTCTGACACATTTTCAGAATGAAGATTTACACAGTAAGACCACAAACATTTTAACAAAAACTCTTGATTTCAGTGTTTCAAATTTCAGGTTGATAGAGTTGAAGAAAATGTTTAAATGTGTTATAGAGATAATATCTACATTTTATTTTACTGTGTCTCTTTTACAGAAAACAATTATAACCCCCAATACACTGGTCAAACTTAAAAAACTGAGGCAATTGACAGAGTACTGTTTTCAAATACAAGCAGCTGTCAAGAATTCATTAAGGCCTTACAGCTATGGATTACTAAGCAACACCTTTTGTCACCAAACTACAATGAGCGGTATAATTATTACTTCATAAAGAAACATTTGATCTTCTGCACAGTTAAATTGGTATAAAATATGAGTCTTATGTGGGATGACTGATTTATTACATGTCTGGACACACAATATATTTACAGCAGTGTGGTTGAGAGCAGTTTTATATGGGGATCTGGAGTAGACAGGCAAGCAACTATCTTGGACCAGCTACGAGAGGTGTAGGTGGCTAATTGCAGCAACTTACCAGTAGATGGCAGGGGAGCAAGCATTGAACTGTTTTGCCTTGAGCAAATGGCTGGCCCACAGATAAACTGTGGATATGCGACTCCTACAGCAGTTTATTACCCTGGCAGAGCTGGGGTGGTGCAGGCGCTAAAGTGCACATTTGACAGCTCAGAGGTGATATAGTGCGCTCCTGTCAGATTCCAATGAATCTGTGAATTCTGCTAAATACCTTGTCACAAGGACCTAAAAGGAAGGTTACACTGGTGTGTTTTACCCCTGGCTTTTTCCAGAGGTAATTCCACACCAGGTTTGAGTAAGTTACCCTGGGGTAAGGCTGCATGGTGTGTTTCTACTTTTCAGCAGCTCAGTAAAGCAGGGTTAAATAACTCAATCATCTGGTTTTCTTTTGCCTTATCCCTTCCCTTCTTGTATTTAGGTACCCAAAATAGATTTTTATGAGCTGTTAAAGTGTGTTTCTTTCCATAAAGGCATAAGGCATAATGGATGTACTTAGGCCTTCCAAAGGAAAACTGATTATAGGTCATTCCTCTTCTCACCTTGGGGTCAGATTTGGTAGGGCATCAGCCTTTGGTGTTGCTGAAACTCTCTCAGAGCTCTGTTATGACTCGTATCTGCTCTTCCCCTTGCGCCTTATTGCTCACTTCTGTAGAGAACTGGTGTGAGAGAACTCTGTGAAGAGGAAGATCATTTGAGAAACATGATATTTTGTGCTATCCCTCCTGGGATCACAGGGGTGGCTGGACTGTTTAAATCTGGCTTGTCAGCATCTGAACTTAAGCCTGGTTTAGACCATTTGCAAGCCTTGTGTAAACGAAGCCTGCATGTCAGTTATAAATCATGAAGGCCTTGATACAACAAGGGGCTGAGCATTTAGCACTGTTTTTAGAAATACTTGTATATGTCTTGAACTTTAAGAATTTGAGCAATGCCACTGACGTCAATGAGACTATCCCCAGCACTTAAAACTAGGCATCTGCTTGAGTGCTTCTCAAAATCACTGCTAGCATGATCAAGACTCAAAACAGCAATCTGAATTAATTGGTATTCTAGCCACCTTGCTGACTCAGTTGGCATAGAAGAGAGGAGATAAAGAATTTAATGAGAATGGTGCCTAATTTGACTTCTGTCCTCTAGAGGAATTTGTCTGGGTCAGCACAGAAGCAGGTTAGCAGGAACTGAAGATGAAACTGGCCTTGCATCATGCTGCTAAATAAGAGTTAAGCCTTCAAAGCTGTCATTTCGGTATTGATTTGCTTTAAAAAAAATGGAACAATGGAGTTTTCAAAGGCAAATGCAATAACTGTTTAGATTCCCTCTACTTAGTGGGGTTTGGATTTTGGCCTGTACATTTTTACTGACTGACTTAATGATAATTCTCAATTTTATGTTCAAAATATTAAGTATAATATGTAGCTGAAAGTTTTTGCTAGTCTCCCCAACCATTTCTGATAGTCGTGTTCCTTGCAACTTTTCTTACTCCCCATTTCATGTAGGAATAGCCTCTAACGTTCTCTTACATTTTTGTGTCTGGGACTCCAGGCTTGAAATCCTTAGTTCTAGGAAGTGTTAATCTCCTTTTTGTCAGGTATCCAGGTTATAGCCGTATTGGTCTAGAGAAAAAAGCAATCAGGACTTGTGGTAGAAGTGATATATTTTTCTGTATACTTCAAGGATTATCTGTGGCAGAAGCTCACTACAGTTTAAAGAAATAATGTTCTAGTTGATAGAGTTTTACTGTAGTGCAATCTATAAAATGTTAGTTTGTTATCCAAGGTATTTTAATAACTTTAATAAGAAATATACCAAGACTCTATTCCAAGAGAATAGAATTGGCTTTGATATTTATGCTACCTGCTTATTCTTTTTTTTTTCCTCTCTTTTCAGATGGGACGAAAGCTGGATATATTCTGCTAATATTTGTAGTCACAATTTTTGTGGTGGTCGGTGTAGCCATGGGGTTTTTTTATTTAGGGAATTTTAATGAAGTAATTAAGGCATGGTCACAGCCATCTTTAAAAATCCCATCACATTTTGAAGAGGTATGTGTGTGTTTGTTTTTCTACTTACCAAGGAGCAGTGTGATTGGAATAAGCATTAATTAGACTAGTTAAGGGTTCATAGAAGCCTTTGCCTTTTGTATTACCTCCAGTCTGTTAAATTCATTGTAATGTTTTATGTAGGTAGGCTACTCCAGTTTACTTCCTTTTATGTAAGCAGAGATAACAAGAGATTCCAGCTAAGCAGAAGATATTGTCACGTTCCTTCTTATGAAACTGAGGTCATATGATAAAGGGAGATTCATTTGATTTAATCACTTCTTTTTTTTGGTATATTTTCTGGAGATGTGAGAATGTATGGCAGGTGCTGCACTAATGGTAGTTTATATTAACTGACGTTATAGACCACGTGGAATGCAGGTGTACCCAGATCATTCAAGAATTAAACATCAAAGTCTAGGAGGGTCTGAAGGGATGGAAAAAAAATCTCTGTGGGATCTTTGTGCTTCTTGCAACTTAGATGTTTTAAAGAAGCATGTGATTTTTCTATTTTCCCCCAGCAGCGCTTTGTTTTTTCCTAAACAATCTTGTTTCAGTCATGTTCCTCTTCCTCTTTTCAACTTTTAAACAGGAAGTGATTCTTTTTATTCAAAGGTCTTGGTCACAAAGTCCTTGTGAAAGACATTAATAATTCCATTGGGTAACATCTCCTCTGTTAAATGTACAGGCATTTGCTGACATGTTTAAAGTTTCTGTCATCACACCAGTCCCTTGAATTAAGCTGCTTTTGTAAGTTGGGAACTGGAAGTGGACTTGGGAGACTTCACACCACATTATTCTCTCTGTGCTTCAGTTCCCCACCTCATTGGGGCTTTGTGAAGGTACAGACATGTAAAATTTCTAAGTGTGGTTATTAGGGAAAATAGGAAGGGGCATACAAGGACCTCTTGGAACCAGTGTTGTCTGTGAAGTAGTGTAAGAAGTTCATTTGTCTCTCTAATGCTTATTCTTCATTAAAGTTCATACTCACCAGTGAAACCCATGACTTCCACTAGACAACAAATATCAGGGAACAGCTAAACTCTTAAAAAGCACCGAGCCAACTCTCAGGCAAATAGCACAGAAAATGATAGGTAAATATTTTCCAAGATGGGCTAACTGGCCTATAGCTGTTCCTCTTCTGACACCTCTGATGTATGAAGAGCTTGTCATAAAGGAAGTGGCTAAAGTTGGTGCATGTAAACTTGCTTGGTATTTCATCTGGATTCATCTTTAGGTTTGCAGAAGTCACATGGCTCCTTTTTAACAGCAAACTGTAAGCTTTCAACATCTGATTTCCAGGACATGGATATGATGCTGTTTTATTTTTTAACATACCAAAGGAAAATGGGGAATTGATTTTTTTTTTAATCTAAAATTCATTAAAGCATATACATATGAGATCTTTCTATCTTTAAAATCCATCTCTAAAAATGAATATGATCGGTTACGGCACAGTAAGAGATAAAGGAGAAAATAACCATAACTGGGTTCTTTGTCCCTGTTCTGTATATATAATTACAACTATATTTAATGTGGAAATCAACTAAAAAAAAATTTGTGATGCTGTAGCTTGTGATAGGGCAACATTTTAGCATCTGGTTTTCGTTCCAACTGATCGGTAGCATTTGGGGGGTGTTGGAGGGGACAGGGCTCTGGGAGAGTTAGGTACCCTCAGTTGCTATCAAACTGTGTCCAAGATTGCCAAGGGCAGGAAGGCAAGAAGTGCGTTCTTAGATGGACAGATCTATAACAATATGCTTATTCCGTCTGTCTGGAGCACTCTGGTTGTTTCACTAAGCATTGTGATTGGCTACTGAATCTAACCGAATTTTCACTAGGCTGCCACCTTGCCCTTTTAAGAGCAGATTAGTTTCCAAGACAATTGGGGGGGGGGTACTACTTGTGACTGTGGCACCAGGGGAAGCAGCTTGTAGGGGTGGGAGGAGGGTGTCAGTCACTGCTGGGGGGGTAGGAGGGAGGTGGAGCTGGCATGTGCTTGTCTGCCAGGAGAGGAAGGTGAGGGAGGGAGCCACAGTGCACAGGCAGGAGCTTGCATGCTCCAGAAGCAGCGGTACCAGTTGCCCTGAGCAGTGGCAGGCAGGCTCTGTTGCCTGGTGGATTCATGGCTCATAGTTCCCAGGGTGCTGTGCTGACAGGGGCAGGCTGGGCTGCAGAAGCCAGTGCTGTGGAGGAGCCGGGCATGGGGCTGCTTCTGGGCTGGGAGCTTCACAGCAGCACCACCCTCATGCTGCCCCTTACACGTAGTGTGGGGGGGAGGGGGTCCCTCTGCAGGCATGGTGGGGAGTGAGGAGGGGGCAGTGGGGATGAGTCTATCCCTAGCCGCAGATCCCTGCTGCAGCCTGCACCACCATGCCTGCAGAGGGACCTACCCCCTCCCATGCTAACATCGCACACGAGGGGTGATATGAGGGTGGTGCTGCTGTGAAGCCCCCGGCCCAGGAGTAGCCCTGCACCTGGCTCCTCTGTAGCGCTGGCCCCTGCAGTCTGGCCTGGCATGGCCCTATCAGCACAGCGCCCCAGGAGCTGAGAGCCATGAAGCAGCAGTACCTGCCTGCTGCCACTCAGGGCAGCTGGTGCCACTGCTTCTGGAGCGTGCAAGCTCCTTTGAGGGGGGAGTGAGGGGCCCAAGCAGGTCCAGGGAGCACAATGCTATTATAATCCTATAACAGAAGATATTCCTAAGCCTGTGTTTACACATGGACAGCTTTATGTAGCCTTTTTGAGGATTAGAAGTTTTGATTCCATTAAAGTATTCAGTCAAAGGATAACTTAAAAATCCTGCATTTAAAGAAATATTTTTGCAATAAAAATTTAAATCGCAAATGTTTTGCAGGTTTCAGCTAGTAGAGTGAGAGAGAGAGAGGATTTTATAATGGCAACTACTCAATGATCTTAACAAGGGGCAATGCTAGCAGCCCTGCCCATGTTCCTAAACTATGTATGGAAAGATTAGTCTATTAGAGACTTTGTTCTTCATAGAGAGTTTGAACTCATTCCTGTTCTTGTTGTTTTTTTCCCCCCAGGATCTAAATGATCCTAACATATCTGTTTTTGAGGACTGGGAGAATACTCATGTTGAAGTAGAGCACTGGGACTCCTTGTCAGTTGTCTCCACGGCAGAAGGAAGCTAAATAGAAGCCTGAACAGAAATACTCAAACAGCACATCCACTGCAAGTAAAATAACATAAGTGACACTATGGCTGATGTGTTTGTACCTGGGCTACACAAAGGTATCAGCAGCGGCATTGTACTGATGCTATTTAAGGATGAAGGACAAAGTCAACTTAAATCGCACGAGACATGATGCCCTGAAACCTGAGCAAAATGGCTTCTATATCAAATAACGTGAAGTGCTTTCTACAGGAGAGACTCTCTTTGGTTGTTTTTAAAGTCACAAATGTGAACTGAAAGAAAACACTAAGCTTGAAAGTGATAAACGTGATGATTGGAACAGAATGACTGGAAAAATATTGCAGTAACAAGGTTACTTTCACATACATTTTTTGTTGCTGATCTAAGTCTGTCTGGACTATAACAATTTTTTTGAGGTTGTTAGCACTTTATAGTAGGATATATACTATGCTGTACAGTAGGGTTGGCAAGCTAGTCAGTTGACTGGGCACATATTGTTAACTGGCCAGCCAAATGAATGCATATTTTTGACCAAGGATTTTAACAGTTTTACCAAAAAAACCCTACATTTGTTAGTAGTTTTCTTGACAGAAATACTATTTTATTTGTTGACACATTTCTTAATGGAAAACTTGTGCTTTTTCTATGTATTATCTGGACCTGTTGGCAATTTTTTACAATTTTTGAGCTATACTTGACCAGTCAATTGCCCAAATTTTATTTGACTGGTCAAATACTCAACCATACTCTATAGTAATTAAATGAATTATTGCACCATGCCTGACTTATCTTGGCCATTGTTTTGTTAGCTCCATGCATAAAAAAGTCTCTGGCTTAAGTATGGTAGCCTGGATGTGATGGAAATAATATGCTTGGTAGAGTACCATACTAAGAAAAAGTGTGTCAATAAAAGGTCAAGATCTGTATAATTTGAAGAAAAAGCAGAAGATACTTCACCTATAAGTATGAGAAAGGAGCTCATGACACATGCCGGCAGGTTCATTTCTCCCCTAGTTCCTTGTGATGCTTTCACAAGTATGGCATTAATCTCTGCTCTAAAGAGGAGCTGTCTCTCTGCAAGTGTTGCATCTTTTAAGCTGAAGTGATACTCTGAAAGTTTTTTTGGGGAGTGGGGGGGGGGTTAACCTTAATGAATGTGCCAATTGTAAATACTTTCCTAAATAGGAGACACTAAGACTGTCTATACACATGCTTGGGGGGGACATTTTAATTAAAGCAGCTCTCCAGGAACTGCTCTAATTAAAACACTGCAGCGTCAGATGTGGCATTCTTCCACACATTTAAAAATGGCTGTGTGATGCTTTAACTAAAGCTCATTCAGTGAGCTTTAGTTAAAGCACCCTATAGCCATTTTGAAATGCAAGAGGAGTTAATACATGTGAGACTGTGGCAATGCTAGAGTGTTCCAATTAGAACGTGTTGGAGTACATCTATAGGCAGCCCAAAAGAGATATTGGTTACCAGGATAGATCAGCAACAAGCAGTTAGCCAAGGTAAGTTTTAGCATGCATAAAGCAAGCTTTTCATTGTTCCTACTGTCTGCTGCTTGTAGGTAAATCCTATACTGAACTCATGTAAGTGTATACAGTGATTCTTAAAGCTTCTGTCCTGGCTGCTAGTGTCCGTGTGAGATTGAAGTTGTCTAAGGGATGAAGCACTGAAAAAAATCTTTACACCACTTTGTTGTACATACTACAAAACCAAGTTGTAGGATTTTTAACAGCAAGTTTTAGGGTATCTGTTGATTTCTCATTTTACAATATTTGTTATTGATAACCAGTTAATAAATATTTTCTTTGTGAAATGGTGTAATTGTTCACTTTCCCTTGAGTTTGTGATTCAGTAAACCTAGGAAACATCTAAATTAAAGAGGACTTCAGTGATGACAAAGAACAGAGATGCATGTGCAGGCAGCGGGTACTAGGAAGTTACTGTTCTAGAAAGTCTCAGTTTTCTTTTTCTGTCTCTTCATTTTCCTATTTGAGCGCACAGTGGTTCCTAGCAGTTTAAAAGTTCTGGTATTGGGTACCTTCTGGACTGTGCTAGCAGTTCTGATTGAATATGCCTCAGCTCAAAGGAGGAAGCAACACATTACTTTCTAAGCTTAATCACTTATTTTAAATACTTGTTGAATTTACGGCTTTAAATGTTGAGACTAATTAATCTGGCAATGTTAACCTATCTTAACTTATCCTCATAATCCTTAATAGCTGCTGGTATGGCAAAAGTATTTTCTTACCCCATGAAAGATAGAGACTTAAATAAAGAAAGTCGTTGTTAATTTCTAGGTAAGAAGCCACACTCTCCGTTTGTCTGACCAGGAAAAATACACTCATAAGTGAAAGGTATCATGAGCACAAACCTGTGCTTTACCCACCCTCTTTAACTGAGAAAATGCCTTCAATGAATGTTGATGATAGGAAACCTACACTGCCCCGTCAGGGCTGGCCTACAATTTTCAGCATCTCATTATCAGAATCTGAACCACCGTGAAGATATGCTGACCCTTTCCTTCTCATGAACAGTTATATTCCTAAAATAATTACAGAACTATCAACTGTATAGAAATTGCACACCAAAACAGTGACCAACACAATGTAACAAAGCCTTAACTAAGTTGAGATCTGCTGTCAGACCTTTAAAACAAAAGCTTAAGCTGAGGCATTTTTAAGCAGAATCTCAGCACTGTAATACTAATGCTTCTTGCAATGGTAATGAATTCTAGGCCTAGTGAAAATGCATAAGAAGAGAATTTTAGCCAGTTTTTTTAATGAAATCATAAATTTCCCAAGCAGGAAGCAACTGTGACCACCTGAGATACTGCTCCTGCCTTGGTTCAAAGTAATTTGCATCAACACAGAGTCTCAAGACAGCTGAGATGTTTCTTACCAGCTAAGACCTACCTCCCCAAAGAAGCTTTCCATCTGTTGACTCTTCTGTGAAATATGAACTTTCATTTCTACCCAGGAGAACTTTTACAACCTTTTCTCCAGTGCCTGATGAAGGGTGTTTGTGCCCAAATGCTTGCAATTAAAGAAACTTTTTTATAAAAATCTTGTGGGTCTAATAAAAGATATCACCTCTACCATGAGCCCTGATTGAGAAAAGAAAGACATGTCAATCTTACTGATTCTACATGAGCGTCTTCCTTGCATTGGGGAAGCTGGGCTGAAGCATCAGTTGTTTTTTTTCCTGAGCTCCATCTCAATCATGACTCAACTCTAAAGCAAGGATAGATGTAGGGAAGCAGCTGCTCTCTCTTCTAGGAAAACGTGGAGAGCACTTCCCCAAGTCACCCTTATGTTAGCAATAGCCACAGCTGTCATGCAGAACAGACAGTACCAAGTGAGTTGGGCACTGGAAAGATTTCTGCAGGACTGTCCCTGTGCCAGTATTCTATTCCATGTCTTCCTAGCCAGGGTGTATACAAATCACCACTTGTTGTTCTACTCTTTTGCAACTGAAGTATAATTGAGAATTCTCTATTAGTCTACACACTTTCCACACTGAAGCTTTCTAGTAGCCCCTGGATGCAAACAGCAAGTCTTCTGCAATTCTGCTATGCTACCTACACTTTAAACAATATGTTTGAGAGGCCAAAACAACATGGAAAATACCTTGCTTTAGTCTTTGTTCATAAGGAGTAAATCTGCCATATTTATAAGACAGATGCTGTTGTTTTAATTTGGTGGTGTTTACATCTTAAGAACACTTTACAGTCAAGGTAAGTCAAGAAATTTATTTCGTTTTGAACTTACAATTACGCAAATCTGTACAATACCACATTTAACACTGGTGAATGTAACAGATGTAACTTAGAATTTATGATGAAGAAATCAGGTTGGAAACAAGTCTACAGATGGCACAGTTCTCAGCTACAGTGTTGCTTCATATTCTGTCCATTGGAAAGATTCCCAGAAAGGAACAGAGTGGAAAGAAGTTATATTACTAACAGAAAACAGTAGCCATAGATGTGGCTGTTTCTCACACTGTCTGGAAAGTTATTTTAATACTATCTGTGTGGTGAGCTTGATATAAGAGCCCTGAAGAAAACTGGTCTTAACTGACTCAAACACATAGAACTGGTAAGACAAGGATGTCAAATTGTCACCAAAATTAGCAGAAGTACGTAAACAAAATCAGCCCAAAGCTATAGAAACAGCAGATTCTCTCTTTGCGTTCCCCAGCTGGAACATCCTGGCTTTCAAATGGTGACAGATACATTTTATCTCTGTCCTTTCAAAACAGGCTCAGAGTCTAAGAAAGCCTCTCAAAGGGGAATTCTGCAAGAACAACTCAGCCTAAAATCCCCATAGAAAACAGCTAGCCTGCCATAAGCACAGTAGCAATGTCCTTTTTTTGCTCTATCCCTGAATGAACATGCAAGGCTCTACTAAAGTCCTTGAGATAGAGGCAACTGAATGACTAGGCCCATTTTATCAGATTGCACCTGAAGAAAACTGCATTGTTATAACTCCGGCATTTTGGTGCTCAGTCGTTCATCTACTCTTAGGTATTATGCAAGTGAATTGGCTTCAGATGAATTAAAATTTATTGTATAATGATAAACACAGCAATGCTACTCAGTGTTCAAGAAATTATACTAGACTTTAGCATGAACACTTACAAGAACCATGCTGCCATTAAATGTATTGTGCTATTGTAACTGAGGATTAAAAACATTTGATTTGTCATGCGTGGTCCCTTATATGGCCCTGTTAAAAACACATCACCTTAAAAATTTAAAAGCTACTGTGATGCTTTTTTCAAACCATTTATATGCATTTTTCTTAAAACCTTGCACTTAATCCAGTATCATATCACGACTTTATCCTCCAAATGTAAGCTCACCTTAAAGGCTCTGAAGCCCATATTAATGCATAGCTTGTAAGTCAGTTGCAGCCTTCCTGTGCATACAAGTAACGGCCAGTTTTACAAGGCTTGACCCTGCCACCTCTTACTTGAGCAGTTCCACTGAAGTCTGCCTTACATGTGCAAGGGCTTGCAAGACGGAGTCTTAAAGTGGGAACGCAAGCCTGTATGTGGAGTAGAAATAAACCTGCAGACTTCAACATTAAGAAAATGTAGCATTTACTAAGATATATACATACCAAGCCATGTAATATGTACATATTCACAATCTTGTTCCACGAAAAAAGAAGGGAAATCATTATAGAAACTTTCAAGAGGAGACTTTTTTTTTTTTTTTAAAGTCCTGGTTCATTCAGCTTCAAGAAAACAAGACCCAAAACCCCAAATGTGTAATGTAAAATCCACCAAAACAAAGATATCTATAAACAGAATAATAAGGTGTGTATGACTGAGGAGAGGAAGAGGCAGGCGGAGTGAACACTTGCTCTGATTTTTCATCCCCATAACTCTTCTGTTCTTCCAAATTTGTAGATCAGAGTACTGTAAAAACAAAAAACAAAATAAAACCTTGCATATAATTTGCAAAGGTGACATTGAAACCTAGGATATTTTAAAGTCAAGTTAAGTTTTGCACTTAATTTGGGAGGAAATGCAATGCAAACACTGCTGCTTTATCAGAGGGAGTTGGGTTATACTTTAGCCAATTTCAGAATTGGTTTTATGTACATTCATTCACTGTGCATTCCTGGATAAATATGCTCTGGCTCTGTAGGGGAGTGCAAACCTCCAAAAGTACTGCTGCTCAACTATGAACTGGCCAAATTGCTAACCTAATATGTAATCTTGCATTAAAACAGCCATTATTCCAGAGAACTGAAAGGTAACAAATGTTATATAAAGATTGTAGAGACAATCAATGGAATTCTGGACCAGCCAGCCTCCCATTTGGACCCGACTGGAATAATTCAATATAGAATTTGACCATCACAGTTTCTACAAAGGAAAATCTTCCAGGCTTGGAACTCTTGGAACATGGCATAACACTCCTGGACAAAGAGGAACCAAGTGACATTTCAGAATTCCAGTGTGCCTTTGACAAGGTTTTGCATAAGAAGCCACTAAAGAAATATTCACAAGTTAACAGAAAGTACTGTGTAAATCAAAACCTGGCTGGAGGAAAGAAAGCAAAAAATAGTAGAAAATAAGTCTTTCACCATGATGACAATTGACCAGTAACAGCAGGATGCCCCAAGACGCTGGACCAAGTCCAATGTTTGAATATATTATTAAAAATGCACTAGGGTGTAATCAGGCAGGCAGTCAAATTTGCAGTTCAATTATTTATCCTACTCAGGACTAGAAAACAATGAAGGACTTCAGAGAGAGCTAAGTAAGGTGAAGAAGCAACACTATTGAGCCTGAATTTTACCTGGCATGGAGTAATGAATGCCAGAGGGAAAAATTTAGACACGGCATACTCCCTTTACAGGGTTTCAAACTAACTAGCAACTCAGGAAAGAGCCCCGTAGAGGGAATAACAAATCTCTTCTCAGGTAGCAGCTGCCAGCCAAAAAGAACCACATTGTTATTTATAGAAGGAAAAGATGCCTGCTTACACATGAAGATGATAATGACCATGTAAATCAATCGTGCAAACTCCTCCAGAATACCATGTGCACTATTGGTCATCTTCTCTCACAACTGCAAGTGTAGAATCACAAGGGGTCAGAAAACAGGTAATAAGATTCAGTTATGTGGACTCAAAAGATTAGGACTGCTTGCCTTGGAAAAGAAGAGTGAAAAGGGATAATATATTCATAAAACAACTTTTCTAGAGAGTGTGGACTGAGAACTTGCTGGTCTCCCATATGGCAAGTGCTATAGTCCTTGAATATTGGACCTACTTAATATCTAGCTAGCTGTATGCTACTGCAAAGAGTATATATAGGCAAATGGGAGGGCTGAAATGACTGGCCTTAGAAAGCCAGATATAGGGAAAACACAGTGGAATAGCAGTTTTAACTCATGTAAAGCTACTGAAGGATAGTTTACTTGAGAGAGAGAGAGAAAGGAAAGCTGATGGGTAACATTGACTACTAGTGATGTCATAAATATCAGTAAGGGGAAACTTGGGTAAAACAAATGCTTCGGGGAAGGTTGGTAAGAGGTTCCAGTGAAGTATGCAGGGGGGCTGCTAAAGATTCCCTCCTCACCTCAGTCTTACTTGTAAAGATGCCCAAAGATATCTCACCATGTGCTCCAGGGTGAAGGGAGGGTGCTTCAGTGACTCCAAGAACCACTCTAATTAAAGTGCCTGCAGAGTCACGTGTATTTAGCATTCCAAGCTTCAAAATGGTGGCAGGGCATTTTAACTAAAGCTTGTTCAATGAGCTTTAGTTAAAAGCACCCCCACCATGATTTTGAAGTGTGGGGATGCTGAATACACATGACACAGAGGCTGCTGGAGCATGTTCAGATCAAATGTCCGGCACGTGTATAGGTGCCGCTTAATGTTAATAGCCAGTGAAGTCATTGGGACTTACAGGTGTAGGAGTGCATTTCTTTATATAAAAGTGCAAGAAAACAACTGCCAACATTGAACAGAATTAGATCTGGCAAAGAAAATTAAGAGAGTTTGCCTGTATTAAGAGAACAGGGAAAGAAGTGGTGGTGTTATGCAGTGAGGAGAGAGAGATTTAAGTAATCAGGATATGACCCTGAAACTGAATGAATAATATTCCTCAGTTTTCAATAAGAAAAAAAATTATGTGGAAAATAAAGACAGAAACAGGATGGCAAATAAAAGTTAGAGGTGCAGAAATGGAAGTTACCACAACTAAAGGAAAAGGAAAAGGCTCGAAAGCAAAATGCACTCAAGTCAAGGGCAGGGAGAAACAGGTTAATCTCATCCTGAACGTACTGAAGTCGCAGGTCTGCTAGCAAGGATCTTTGATTATATAGTGCCACACCAACTAGACTAAGTAAAGAACAACAAAGTGTCATGCCTGTACTTAAGGGGAAAAATTTAGAGGCAATAAGAAGCCTAGTAGTATCTAAGGCTTTAGAACAACTTTTGAAGGAAAAAAAATATTTGATAATATGGAGGAAAATAGAAAAATGGGAAGAAGTGCAACCTGAATTTACTTAAGGCAGATGAGAGCAGACTAAAGCTAGCTTTCTTTAACAGATAATAGATTTTTAGATGAATAAAATATTGTGGATGGAATCTGTTTGGACTTCAGTAAAACATATAATACGGAAAAATTGGCTGCATGCAGAAAGCAGAGATTAGTAAAGACCTACAAGGCAGGTAAGAAACTGGATAAAGTAGTGTTGGAAGAACTATCAGGCTAGAGGGAGGCTATTAGCGGAGTCCGTCTAGGACTGGTCTTCAGACTGATAATGAAAAAACAACCCTGGCACAAAAAGTACAACTCTATTAGTTATGACAAAGTTAGAAGGCAGCTGTCAATTAGGGCTGTATGAAGCTTCGGGTGCTGATTAAATTCAGAGGAGATTCAGCCCAATTTGGTGCCCAAATCTCCAAATCCGAATCGAATCGGGATAATAAAAAGGTCTGAACTGATTCAAAGCTCTCTGAATTGATCGGGAAAAGATTCAGAGAGCTTCGGCGATTTGGGCTTGCTGCAGCAGGGAGCTTGACCCAGACTCCATGCTGGAAGAGGGGGAGGGGACCATAGGGGGACCCCCACCAGGCCCCATCCCCTGCCTGCTCCCCCAGCCCCCCCGAGCATCCCT